GTGAGTGTGGGTGGGTGTGGATGGGGTGTGGGTGTGAGTGTGGGTGTTCTCTTAATCCACACTTACACCCACACCCACCCACACCCACACCCTCAAAAGCACTAATATAAATCCTGCACATATTTCATTGGTAATAGAATGCTTAACTTAGAATAGCCTTAGTATGTTCACTATTTTTTTCTGTTCATCAAAGCTCGCCGGAGTAATTCAAAGGTTCATTAGCAGACAAAGTAGCGGACCTACTAAGACTATTGAAAGTTAAACATCATGTTACCAGTAGAATATATGCGCGATTTATATTAGTGCTTTTGATTTTACTCAAGTTTTGTATTAGAAAAGAATTTAGGAGTTTTTATAATATTCATATTCTTATAGAGCATGCTGAACTCTAACGACCAGCGTAAAAAGCACTTCTACAAGCATTTAGAAATTAATATTTCACTCAACTTTAGTAACTCAAACGTTATAACAAGATTTTTCTTTTTGTACAAAATGTAACATGGAAAATCATAGGTACGACTAAGAGATATATCATAAATTTTCATGACTTTGAGATAGCTTGAAAACTTTTTTGTCCGATGTTAGCTCTACCTATTGTTTACAAAACTGTTTATTTCGACTAAATATCCGTGTATATTTTTCGTATAGTAGGCGTAATTTACAGAGAAGATCGAAACTTTTGCACCAGGCTTTTACTTATTCGACTTATCTTAGATAATTTGCAAATTCTATCGAGGTAAGGGAATGAAGAAAAAGAGTAGTAAAGAAGTATAATTTATTCGATTTAGCGAAAATTTGCTGGAGAAGTATTAGGATAATATGGAGAAGTCAAAGAAAAGTAGAGAGACCCAACCTTATCGATTTTTTCACATAAGATTCGGAAATCTTTCAGCATAGCGTAAACAAGAAAAAAAAATTAAAAAATTGACTTACTCGATTTGTATCACAATGCGTTGTAAAATGTTTAGAAGAAGTTAATGATGAAAAAGAAGCAAAAGAACCTAATTTAATTAATTTTTCTCATCAGATGATAGAAACATTTACGATAATTAACAAAGAAAAAGGAAAAGTAAAGGAACATAACTTATTTGCCTTAGCTCGTAAGTTGCTGGAAAAGTCTAGAGATAACATAAAGACGACTAAAGAAATTTAATTTGATGGATTTCACTCAAAACATGGTAGACAACTATCAATATAAAACGTAATGACAAACAAAGGAAAAGTGAAGACAATTGTCTTAATCAATTTGATGTAAAGATATTGGGAAAAGATAAGGATAGCGTGAGGAAGTCAAAGAAAAGTAACGAAGTCTAATTTGTTTGATTTGCCTCTTAAGATCTGGAAAGAGCATCCGGATAATATGAAGAACAAAAGGAGAAAAGAAGAAATCTAACTTAAACGATTAATACCAAAAGATGCGCGAAAACATTAGGGCAAGTTAATAAAGAGAAAGGAAATTGAAGATAACTAACGTATTCACTTTGTCTCATAAGATGCTGATTATCTAGCAAAATAACTTAATGATGAAAAAGGAAAGTAAAAAAAAAAGTATGTCATCTCATTTGTCGCATATGGCGCCGAAAACCTTTTGGGAAAACGAAAAGAAGAGAGAGAGAGTTAAGCTGAACTGATTGACTCTATTTTCTCTAATTGGACGCGCAGCATCTATCAAAATAAGTAGCTGAAAGGTTGAAAATATGAACTGAATCATTTTATCCTGCTTCTGTGATGGAATGCGGAATAAATATAGGAC